CAAACAGAAATCTTGGAAATGAAGGAAATAATAAACCAAATTAAAAACTCAAATGAGAGTATCACCAGCAGAGTAGAACACTTAGAAAATAGAACATCAGACAACAAAGACAAAGTATATCATCTCAAAAAGAATGTAGATAGCTCAGTGAGACTGATAAGAAACCACAAAAGAACATCCAAGAAATATGGGATAGCATAAAGAGACCAAATTTAAAAATTATTGGGATACAGGAAGGCATAGAGGTCCAAACCAAAAGAATGAGCAATCTGTTCAATGAAATAATATTAGAAAACTTCTCAGACTTGAAAAATGAAACAGAAATCCAAATCCTAGAAGCCTACAGTATGCCAATGTGCAAAATCACAAGAGATCTACACCAAGACACATTATAATGAAGATGCCCAACGTATAGAATAAGGAGAGAATTTTAAAAGCAACACGAGAAAGAAAGCAGATTACATTTAGGGGTAAACCAATCAGGTTAATGGCTGATCTTTCAACACAGCTCCTGAAAGCTAGAAGATCCTGGAACAACATATTTCAAACGCTGAAAGATAATGGGTTCCAACCAAGAATCTTGCATCCAGCAAAATTAAGCTTCAGGATTGAAGATGAAATAAAAACCTTCCACAATAAACAAAAGTTAAAAGAATTTGCAGCTAGAAAACCAGCACTGCAAAACATCCTTGGCAAAACATTACATGAAGAGGAAATTAAAAATAACAATGAAAACCAATAGTAGGAGATAGTACAGTAAAGAAAAAACTAATCAAAGGGGAAAAACAAATCATGTTAAATAACAAATAAACAAATATGGCTGGAAGTATAAACTATACCTCAATAGTAACCCTAAATGTTAATGGCTTAAACTCACCAATCAAAAGACATAGGCTAGTAGACTGATTTTAAAAAAAGATCCAACAATTGCTGCCTACAAGAGACTCATCTGATAGGAAAAGACATACACAGACTGAAGGTGAAAGGTTGGGGAAAATCATACCACTCATACGGACCTCAGAAGCAAGCAGGAGTGTCCATATTCATTTCAAATAAAATAGACTTCGAGCCAAAGTTAATCAAAAGGGATAAAGAAGGACACTACATACTGCTCAAGGGAACCATACACCAACAAGACATAACAATCATTAATATATATGCCTCAAACAATGGGCAACTATGTTCATCAAAAAAAATCTCCAGTTCAAGAGACAAATATACCACAACACAATAATCATGAGTGATTTTAATATACCTCTCTCACCACTGTACAGATCTTCCAAACAAAAATTGAATAAAGAAAATATAGAACTCAATAACACAATTAATAACTTAGACTTAATTGATGTATATAGAATATATCACCCAACATCAAGTGGATACACTTTTTTTCTCAGCAGCACATGGATCCTTCTCAAAAATAGACCATATATTATGTCACAGGGAAAATACAAAGGAGTAGAGATATACCATGCATTTTATCTGATCATAATGGAATGAAATCGGAAAACAATGATAAAATAAGGAAGAAATCCCTAAATCACATGGAGAATGAGCAATATGCTACTGAATGAACAATGGGTTACAGAAGACATCAAAGAGGAAATTAAAAAATTCTTGGAGGTAAATGAAAACTCAGACACAACATATCAAAATCTCTGGGACACTATGAAAGCAGTACTAAGAGGAAAATTCATTTCATGGAATTCATTTCTTAAAGGAAGAAAAAGCCAACAAATAAATGACCTCACACTATATCTCAAACACAACTACAGATCAATATCTCTAATTCACATAGATGCAAAAATCCTTAATAAAATATTAGCAAACCACATTCAAAAATACATCAAGAGGATAATAAACCATGATTAAGTGAATTCCATTTCAGGGATATAAAGTTGATTCAACATATGCAAATCAATAAATGTAATTTACCACTAAATAGAATTCAGGACAAGAATCACATGATTATCTCAATAAATTCAGAAAAGGCCTCTAATAAAACCCAGCACCCACTTTTGTAAAAAATTCTAGAGATAACAGAGATAGATGTGACTTATCTCAGCAATATAAAGACCATCTATGACAAACCCAAATGACAAAGCCAACATCATAGTTAATGGAGAGAAGATGACAGCATTCTATCTAAAATCAAGAACAAGATAAGGTTGTCCACTCTCACCACTTCCACTCAATATAGTTCTTGAAACTCTAGCCAGAGCAATCAGATAAGAGAGGAAAATTAAAGGGATAAAAATATAATAAGAAGTTATTAAATTATCTCTGTTTGCTGATGACATGATTTTCTATCTAGATGACCCAAAATACTCTACAACAAGATTTGCAGAGCTGACAAATTCATGAAAATAGCAAGATACAAGATCAACGCCCATAAATAAATAGCTCTCCTATACTCCAACAGTGATTTTACTGAGAAAAAAATCAAGAAACCTCTCTCATTTATAATAATCTTTAAAAAATGGATATTACTCTAACCAAGAAAATTTAAAGGTATATACAATGAAAATTATAGATCACTGAAGAAAGAAATTCAATAAGACCTTAGAAAAAGGAAAGAGCTCCCAAATTCTTGGATAGGCATAATTAACATTGTCAAAATGGCCATACTACTATATATAATATATGAATGAAACTAGATCCCTATCTCTGATCCTGCACAAAAGTCAAATCAAAATGGATCAAAGACTTGGGAATTAGACCAGAAACCTTACAATTGCTAGAAGAAAACAGAGTAAACACTCTATCATATTGATGCTAGCACTGACTTCCTTAACAATACCCCTAAAGCTCAAGAAATAAAACCAAAAATAAATAAGCAGGATGCTATCAAATTAAAAAGCTTCTGCACAGCAAAAGAAACAATTAAAAGCATAAAGAGAGAGTCTACACGACAGGATAAAATCTTTTCCAGTTACTTCTCTGACAGGGGATTATTATCCAGAACATATAAAAAACTGAAAAAAAATACACCAAAAAAAAATCCCAATCAATAAATGGACAAAAAAACTAAATGGGAATTTTTCAAAAGAAAAAACACAAATGGCCAACAAATATATGAAAAAAAAATGTTCAACACCTCTTAACTGTTATGTGCCAGGCTATATGGGCAATGACCAAACACACTCCATTTTACCTTGATACTGCATGTCATGTAAGAAATGCTTCTCCCATGGGAACACCTTGCCTCTGTACCCATCAATAGTTGCTTAGCATAGCATGTTTGGCAACACAAAATGGCAATTCTTATGCAATGTAAAATTATTCTCTTTTTGGTTCCCATTTTTCTTGGACATAGTACCCAGTCAGAGAATGACTGTCTAGATGTTAGTAACCATTCTTTAGCTTATACTCAACTAGGGTTGTTTTGACTCACTTCCCCTTCTGCTTATGATTTTAGAGCTTGATGTTTGTTTATGGTCTTGAATCATAGGAACAGCCACTTATGATTAATGTACTGATATGCTTTATTTATGGTATAAAAGGTTTACTCAAACCCCTAAAGGGGGTCGAAGGATGCAGACTTGCAGCCTGTGCCTTGCCCCACTAGCTGGTGAATCCTGATGACCAACTCGTGAAAAAGGTTTCCATCTCCTGCTTTAAGATAAACTCAGTGATTTATTGCAATTTTGCCATAATATAACAATCACGGGAATGCAAATCAAAACTACACTAAGATTTCATCTCACTCCAGTCAAAATAGTAATTATCAAAAATACAAATAATAATAAATGCTAGCAAGGATATGAGAGGAAAGGTACACTCATATATTCCTGGTGGGACTACAAATTGTGCAAATACTCTACAAAGCAGTATGGAGATTCCTCAGAAAACTAGGAATGGAACCAGTGTATGCCCCAGCTTGCCCACTTCTTGGCATTTATCTAATAGAACTAAAATTAATCAATACAGCCACTTCAATGTTTATAGCAGCACAATTCACAAGAGTCAATTATGAAATCAACCCAGATGCATCAATAGATAAATGGAGTAAGAAATTATGGTATATATACCCAATGGAATTTTACTCAGTCTTAAATAAGAATGAAATAATGGTGTTTGCTGGCAAATGGATAGAAATGGAGAACATTATGCTAATTTAAAATAGGTCAGTCTCAGAAAATCAAGAGTTGAACATTTTCTCTCATATGTGGAAGCTAGAGCAAAATAATAAAAAAGAAGGAGGGGAGAATCAGATATCATGAAGATATGGGAAAGATGAGTACATTAAAACATCAAGAGGGAGAAAGGAGGAATAGGAAAGGGAATAAAATATGGAATGATTTTTTAATCATGCTATGTGCATATATAAATATACCACAGGGTATTTCACCTTTATGTACAAGTAGAAAGAGCCAATAAAAAAATTAAAAATAGATTAGCAAAAGAAAGATTAGTAGAGTATGAAAAGGAGAATGGGAAGAGAGAAGAGAGGAAAAAAGGGGGGGAACATGTATTGAAACTAAATTCCATGCATGTACATTTTTGCCAGGATGAACACAACTATTATGTATAAATATAATGCTCTAATAAAAAATAATTTCTTAAATAAAAAATTTTAAAAAGGTACAAAGTTTCAGTTATGCATAAGAGATAAGTTCAAGAGATCAGAAGTACAGACATGTAACTACAGTAAACAATACTGTAATTCAATATTTAAATTTACTAAGTATACTTGTTAAGTTTTTTAAATAAAAAATGGTAACTGTGAAATAATGACTATTCTAATTAACTTGACTGTGGTAAATATCTCACAATGTATACATACATGAAAACATAAAGTCATATATACCTAAAGATATACAATTTTTTCAACTCTACTTCAATAAAGATGAAAAATTAATACATATGTTGATAATATTTTACATATATATAAAATATATATGTTTATATATATATTCATATACATGCAGCATATATAGCCTTGGTAATATTAATAGCAATAGTGAAGGCCAACTATTTAGATGTAACAAAAAAATTACCTTTTCCAAACCAGACTTCACACTTTGCATCCAGATCATGACAGTCTCCTTCATAACAAACAAACTTATTTTGTTTGCAAGTATGTCCATTTTGTACAAATATGTCTTGTGGACAACTTGGTGAACTTCCATTGCAAACCTCAGCTATATCACATTCAGGGTGTACTACAGGTCTGCATGTAGTACCTGCTGCTGACAACTAATAGAAATTAAAATATAAAAAGAAAAGTATTTCATGTAACATTGTTGTATTTGTCAATATTTCAAAAGTGTGTCAATTATTTATAATTTTTACTCATTGTACAAGACATTTTTTAGTATAAATCATTATTCCAACATTGAAAATTAATTGAATGCTATCAATTAAAACAGGAGATGAGACATATAAGAAAAAGTGGATATAATGAAAGCCAAAATTTTATTTGTGCTTTCAGTACAAGGAACAAAAAAAAAATCACATTTAGCCTTGGAAAATGATTTCTTTTGAAAAAAAATTTTAATTAAAAGTCAATTTCCAAATATTATATACGTATGTATTGAAACCACTATTTGTAAGTATTCCATACTTACAAACATACCACAATACTTACAAACATTCTTTGATAAACATGAAACATAAATAACTGAGAATGAAGGAAGGGAAACAGAAGAATGATTTATGGAAGCAGTTCAACCTTGGGGGATATTAATGAAGAAGCAGCACTGCAGTCTTTCTCCTGAATTATATTTCTCCTGAATTATATAATATTATTATAATTATATTAATTGTTGCATATATAAAATTCTGAAAACATATGTAAAGAGTCAAGTGAGCATCTATCATACTTGATTATTTCAAGTCAACACTAAGAATATTACAGACTAAGAATGTAACCTAGAATGAAAACATTCTAGGAAAAACATAAATTAAGCACAGTCAATTAAAGACAGTCAATAAGACAGGACCCATGGTAGATAGTTCAACAGAGACATTCTCTTATGGGAATCTTGTTACAAATGTATTTGAAGAACTGAAAAGAACAAAATGGAACAGCAGTCAACATCTTTACCACATAAGCTAAAATGTGACTTGTTTTAGTCAAATGATCTTTGAATAAAAAATTCACAGTTTAAATTTTTTTCTTTAGGCACTATTTGTAAACTGTACCATTTAGTGACTTCTATTTCTTAAACATGTATGGAAAATTAATGTAATTTTCAACTGCATGTGTACAGATACTTATCACAACCAGTAACATTTTTTTTATTTATAAAACCCTAAATACTGGATAGAGTGAAAGAATAATTGTTCCTTTCAATGAAGATCTTTTATATTGAAGAATTTTATAATAACTGTAAATCAAGGCTTAAAAACAACTGCATCAGGTGAGTGGGGAAATTAGCATTAGAAAGTGATCGCAACACCTAACAAAAATGTAATAGATCAGAAATATAATTCTGAACTTATTATCTCTTTATTTATTAAGGTCACTTATCCTGACTTAACTATAGCTCTACATGTCCTAATGTATCCTATACATGATTCAATGTGCTTGTAAAATTTTTGTCAACTTAAATCTTACTTGACAGTTACTGCAGCACGGTCCTGTGTCACATTGCGATCCTTGTTTCAGAATACAGTTTGCCGGATCACAGCAGCTAGCAGGACCACATTGCTATAAATGAATGGAATTCACAAGTAAAAATACATGATAATAAAAATTTTAATAGAAGCTACGTTCTCTGAGCTTGTTCTTAATTTTGAGGAAGGAAATGTATTGTTTTAGCATTCCTAAACATTTATTAATTTTAGCATTCCTAAACATTTTTCAAACATTAGTGTAAGACTTTTACTTTAGATTATAACAGAATATCTGATATTCCACTTATCTTCCTATCCAAATAGAAAACCAGGAAAATAAATGGAGGCATTTTCCAATAGTATCAGACCATGATGATCTCAGTGACTTAAAAATACAAAGATGGCTGAAGTCACTGAATTAGTGGAACAGATTATTGTTAACAGTGAGACACCTAAGAAAAGAGCTCTAGATTTCTACATAGAAGACATTTTTTGCACAGGTTTAAAATATACTAGACACTGCAGATAAACAGGTGAACTTGAAGAAGCAGTAATAAAAATACTCAAACAGAAATAAAGGAAAAGGAAAAAATCAGAGTCCCCACTAATCGTAAGACAATATCAACACTCTAATATGTGTGTGATTGGAGTTAAAAACTAGGAAAAGGTCAGAGGGTAAAGTTAGTTTTTGTTGAAAGTTTACCAAATGTTACCAAATACACTAAAATCTTACACATCCAGGAAACTCATCTAAGTCCAAGCAGGATAAATATCAATAGAACTATACACAGGTACATCTTGTTCAGCTGCTAAAACCAAAGCTAAAAAGAATATTTTGAAAACAGCCAGAAAAAAAATTCATGCACAAGAAAATAATAGTGATGATTACTACTGACTTTTGATCAGAACTAAAATAAGCATGAAGAATATAAAATCTCCTCTTTAAGGAAACAAAAGAAAAAATTATTAGTTCATAATTCTACAAATAATGAACATGCCTTTTAAATATGAATATTAAGTAAAAATATTTTCAGGCAAATAAACAGAACATTTCTTGCTAATTATTCTGCCCTGTAAAAACTACATGAAAGAGTATATTCTAAATGTTCTTACCACAAAAACATAAGTATGTGAAGTGATAGATTTGCTAACTAGTTTGATTAAAATTCCCAAATGTAAGCATATGCCAAAACATCACATTGTATCCCATAAATAGATTATTTTTCAATTAAAAATAAAATTAAGAAATAAATGACCAATAACGACAAAAGAATATGCTTTTCTTCATTAATGTCATCAAGAAAATACAAATAAAACCATGACAAAACTGCTGAAAAGATTGACAACATCAAGTGGTGATGAGATATAAAGGAACTAACAGTTTTATGTTGCTGACAGGAGTATAAAATGACATAACAATTTTGAAAAACATTTTGCAATTTCTTATAAACACTTACTATATGACACAGCAATTCTACTCTTAGGAATCAAGGATAGTGGACCAATATTTTTAACAACTCAAAAGTCCATTAGCAGGTGAATGGAAAATATTGTGATATATCCATAAAATGACATATCACTTAAAATAAAACAAAAACTATGGTGACATGCAACAACATGAATGAATCTCAAAAATGCTTTATCATTCCATTTTAATGATTTACAGAATCAAAGAAAACCGAAAAAATCAGAAGCAGAACTGGGAAATACTAGAGAAGCATAAGCAAACTTTGGGAATGATGAAAATAATCTGTCTTAGTTGTACAGTAGTTATATACATTTGTTGAAGTTCAACCTGTCCACTTAAAATGGGTACATATTAATACTTGTAGACTGTACCTCAATAAAACTTTTTAATAGAAATAAGAGTAAAGAGGAAGGACTCATTCTACCACAGGGTAAAACATAGTAATTAAAAGAATACAATGGTGCATACAAGTAATTCAGACCCATGTATGTGCCAAGACCTAATGTCATTTCTGCCTTGTAATCAGGGACACATGGCATACTGCTGAGAGATTAATCTTCAATAAATGTATATAAAATAGCTGAAGGAAAAGCAAAGATTTGGAAACACATATTTGGTTGGAATAAAAATGCTTATTCTAAATTCCTCTTTACCCATTATCAATAGATTTTGCATTACATTTTAAATTTGTTCAAGAATTTTCAACCTGTAAAACCTAGACAGTATTTTCTTTTATGTACTTCAACACGATTCACTTACTACCAGTGTTCTACATGATACTCAGACATATTTGATAAATATAACATTTACAAAACAAGATATTAACTAAAATAAAAAAATTATTCATCAATTTTTTTAGTTATCAGACTTACTTCTTCAGTACCACAATCGCAGGCTTCATTTCCCTCCACTTTGCCATCGCCACAAACTGGTCTTGGATTTACTTGCATTAGAGGTTTATTCTGAAGACATTTGGCACCCATACTTTCAATGAAATTTTTGAACGCCCTTATACTGCAATTGCTAAAACTCTTCACACCAGTAGTTTGCCTAAAGGTGATTCATATAATGTCATGGTCAGTACACTTCAGAAAACATATTCTATATCATATAAGTTACATTCAAAATGTTAAATTTAATAGGAAACAACAAATGTTCATAAGAAATGTTCATAATTGGGCTGAAGTTGTGGCTCAGTGGTAGAGTGCTCGCCTAGCATGCACAAAGCACTGGGTTTGATCCTCAGCACCACATAAATGTAAAATAAAGATATTGTGTCCACCTAAAACTTAAAAATAATTTTTTTAAAAAAAGAAATGTTCATAATTATTTGTGAGGAGGTCATGTGACTCCACTGGAATATATATTTTTTATTAAAAAATTAAGTACAAACAATTAGCAAAAATAATAGTAAATTTAACCTACCAATTAAAAAAACAGAGGACTTGAGTAGAAATTGATCCAAATAAAAAGTTATACCAAATTAATGACAAACTTTATTAAACAAGTTATACTGTGCTAAGTACAGAAATTCCTCAAAGACCTCAAAGAAAATGTGCATTTATCAAAATTTTATGTACTTTTATCTATATAATACTAATAAGGACACTTTAGAGAATACTTCCAAAGGATGAATCAATATGGGCACAGTACAATTCTATAAAGCAAGGAGGAAACTACCATTTATTGAACACCTACTATGAGCCACATACTTAATACATGTGATTATTTAATCTACACCACTAACGAAGGAGGCTGGTGTTATCGACATTTTCAAGAAATTGAAGTAGGTGAGATGCTAAAAACCTCAAAAATCATAGAGTTTGTAAATCAAAGAATAAGTATTCACAATTTTTTAAATTGTACATATAATTGTGTGGTAAAATATGGTATTTTGTCACATACATTAATTGTGGAATGCTTAAATAAAACTAACATGTTCCTCACTTCACCTACTTATATTCTGCTATAGCAAGAACACATAAAATCTACTCTCTTGGCAATTTTCAAGTATTGGCACTTTATTAATTATTGTCTCCATTCTGTACAAATTTACAATAACCAAGGTATGAAGTCAGACTGAATGTCCAGCAATGGATGAATGGATAAAGCAAGTGTGGTATATACAGTTGGCCTTCCAACTGTATATATGGAACTGTAGGTTCCACATCCTCAGAGCCAAACAAGCTCAGGTAGAAAATATCTTTAAAAGCTTGTGTGTATTGAACATGCACACAATTTGTTTTGTATTTATTCCCTACACAATACAATATGACAATTTTTTATGCAGCATTTACTTTGTGTTCAGTATTTTAACTAATCTAGAGATGATTTGAAGTTTATAGAAGGATGTGTATAAGTTATATGCAAATGAAAGTTGAGTATCCTATCCACAAAGCTAGAGAAGTATTTCAGATTTTGGATATTTTCAGATTTTAGAACATTTGCACATGGGACCCAGATCTACATACAAAAAAGCAAAGTAGAATGGTGGTTACCAAGGCCTGAGAACTGGGGAGGGGAATGAGGAGACATTGATCACACCATTATTTATGACTTCAAGTTCAGGTATTTTTACCCAACAATTCATTTTTTTAACATTACATAATTTAATAAAATATTTCCTGAAATACTAATGTTACATATTATTTTACTATGAACTTTAAATTTTGTTGATTGTATCTTCAAAATTGAAATTTTAAGAAAAATTTTAATTCAAAACTATTTCATTTTATTACCTAAAAATAGGGAAAATAATGTCATTTACTTCATAAGGTTGTTGTGAGAACTGAATATTATCAAATAAGTGAAGTACCTAATTCAATTCTCTGGTTTTATTAACATATTGAAGATTATTGGTGTTTTGATATTGACGTCTCATTCTTTGCATAATAGTTTCTACCTCAAACTAACCTAAAAGAAAAACTAAAATTCTGGCTAAAAATGTTATACCCTTCCAACATAGTTTTAAAGATCCTTACTAATTTCTTGCATAAAATACATGGAGATTTGGCAGCTAATTAACCATGCATCCCATGCACTCTGGGCTTTTTGTATCCCAGGGACTTTTTTAAAAAGCAAATTAGATGGAAATATTTGTCTTACCTCCATGCCTTTTTTAAGAGCTAACATATAATAATGTATGAGAAATGCAAAAGTGTCTATATATATATATAAAAAAAAGCAAGATAAACACTCACAAGGTACCATACAAATATAAAGGTTTATTAATACAGATTCAAAACCCACGTTGGCCACAAACTAGCTATCTGACCATAAGTAATTATCTTTTTACAACTCAAGTTTCTTAAATATAAGAATGGAAATAGCAGAACCTGAACTATAGGGTTATAGTAAGAATCAAATAAATTAATAAGTGTAAAGTTTTTGGAATGGTCTCTAGCACATAGTAAGTACAATGTAAATATATATTATCTTTATTATCATTAACATTATTATAATTAACTCTGGGTGATCTACAGAAAACATTTATTCATAGCATATTTAAGCATAGGCCAAATGAAGAGTAATTCTCATATTTTTTGATATACATGTACAGTCCATTTATCCATCCAGATGGATGACATATATACTATAAGTAATATATCCATATAAGGACATGTTGTATGTGTATGTGTTAGTATACTTTTTGGAGATAATCTGTAATATAATTATATGTGTATATACAAGTTTGTTTTTAATTGTTATGTTAAAAATTATGTTTTTAATTGTTCTATTTATAGAACACATGAGTTAACCCTTAGATGGTACTTAGAAGTAACTTTAATAAAGAATATGAGTTCAAAAATTAGCACCTAGTCTCACTTTCAATTTTTTAGTAGTTCTTTAGTAATGACTAGGTCAAACTTATCATAGGCCATTTTTACAAACAAAAACTGTAATATACTAAAAACATGTGCTCTTGTCTAATGAATTATTTTGGGAATACTGGTAAATTTAGAAATTACCATCACATACTTATAGGTTCTACAATTTTTTCTCATTTGTTCTTATATCACCCTTAAAAATAAGAAAATAGGAATAATTATTCACAAAGATGAGAAAAGTAAGTTTAAACAAGGTTAAAGAATTTGTTTAAAGTTACACAAACATCATATATTTGATAGTGGTCTCGTACTAAGACTTCTCATTCTAAAAATTCTAAAATTCTAAAAATTCTACCTAAAAGGAAAAAAAATTTGTTGTAGCCTTCTAACATATTTTTAAAGATCCTTACTAATTGCTTTCATACAATACATATCCTACAAAAAAATACCCTTGCTGATACATATTTTAATTGCTATCCTTGACTTAATTTGCTATCCTTGATTGTCTTTAATGGTATACCTCATTCCATACTACTCTTACATGTTAATGTTTTATAGTGAACTTTATCCCTTTATAGCTAATTTGAGCTATGAGTATTATATTTAAAACAGAATAAACATAACCAATAAATAAATCTATTTTAAAAACTTACATAGCTTCTAAATTCATTGCACAGATGGCTTCTGAACACTGACATTTCTTTGGATCATCATATGATATTCCCAGACTGAGTCCCAGCATTTGGGCAAAAATAACTGAAAACGCATCCAAAGTTATGCCCTTGGGATACTACAGTAACAACAAAAAATGTAAATGAAAAGTATTTCTTTGAATAGTGGTTAGAAAAATATAAAACTTTTATAATTCTGAACATTTTTTTTTCATATACAATACTTAAGGACAGAGAGATATGTTTCCTTGGAGAGAAGAGATGCTAAAACTCTTATGAAATTTCACTGAGATACTGGAACATTGAGTCAATGCTAATCTTTACTATAATGTAACATTTGAACACCTAACAAAATTCTTAAGTAGCTACCATAACTATATAAAAGGACTATTTTAATTAAAAAAATTTCATTGGACTTTTGGCTATATGAACCATAGTCTTTAATTCATTCAATTTCATACAACAACTCTGGTATATATCTACATGATCTCCTACTAGCCCATGAAATGGCCAAATAAAAAATTACTCAATGTGAGTGTGTTTTCTGCTTCCTTCTAGGACCCACAATGACACAGTGATTGTTAGCAGAAGAAGCCACATAAAATAGATATAGACCTTCTAGACAGCTTTCCTAAATTGGGCTGATCACATAAAAATCAGTGCACAGATAACTTTCTTACCCAGGAGAAATAAGATACTGGTAATACTGGTAAATTTACATGGTATGCAATACATCAGGATTTCTCAAATTAAGACCAAAGTTGGCATAGAATAAGATATAGGTGGGAGCAAATTTGTCAGGTAAGTAAAGCCATTTAATTGCTACTATGTCAATAGTGATAATAAAGTTTTTAAGTCAACTTGCAAAAATACTGGCTTATGGAGATCAGGTGTTCAAAGGACCTGGTTTCAAATCCACCTAAGAGTGGATAAAAAAGAACTGCAGATGGGGATGGGATTGTGGCTCAGTGGTAGTGTGCTTGCCTACCAAATATGAGGCACTGGGTTCTATCCTTAGTACCACATAAAAATAAAGATATGTGTACCCCTAAAACTAACTAACTAACTAACTAAATATTTTATAAAAGAGCTGAAGATATAGCCTATTATTATTTCATAAATTCCAGAATTATGCCTAGAATAAAAATATGAAACAATTCCCATATTGGTCCCTAACAAATGGAACTGAGAACTATTATGATGAGGAGGGCAATAGGAAGACCCAAAATGCTCCCAAGATGATAAATAAAAAGTAATATGATTTTTCTAGTGATATTATATAAACTAGTATTATCATCAAAGTTTGAAATTATAGGATTACTGATACATATAACATCATCATTTAACTCACTTGTATACAAAAGCCAAGTAAAAGATGGAGAATAAATGCAAAACTAATTTGGTGGATATTTGCAACACAGTATCTTTACTGGGAAAAATCAACCCGGTCTTTGAAACTGGTATGCATAAACTGACATAGTAATTTCCTTTTTTTAATCCATCAGCAATTAAAAACAAGAAAGTAGTTTGCCTTCAGTAAAGGTAAAATCATAGGGGATCAGTAAGTGCTATACTCATCCTTATCAACTCTCCCAATCTGCTTGCTATACTATACCAGAGAGATTGTCTTTATAGCCCACACAGCATATATGGCTCCACTGTATTGATGTACAGTAAATTGATGTGCAAATGTTTTAGTAAAATATATGTATTATGGAGAGTAGGAAGTAAAATCCATAACACTTAGTAATCTACCACAGCAGTTAAGTTTATTTGGGTGCAGTGGTTGGCATCCTATCAAGGTACTCTTATAAAAGTAGACACATATTTCTGTATTTCATGTATCCCACTATAATAAAATGGAATTATATGTTTGAAGGACTTATTTGGTTATTAAAGGCAACATATGCCAAGTTTCTCTGAACAATGTGCCAGCTATTCCATTACAGCTTCTGGCTCAAAACTTGTCCTAGTAAAGGTAAACTTGACCGTGAAACATTAAGCAACCTTGACCTGAATGTCTCATTATGAAATAGATATTATTTGATCCACAAACCATCAAGTAGGATATTCACAGCAATACTTCATTGAATAGGTTTAGAAAGAACAAGTAAACTGCACAAGCAGGTGTTTCAGAATGCCAATGTATTGTGCTTCTTTTGCTGCCTCTCTCACAACTCTTTATGAACAGATAGATGCCCATCATTAAAAGAGAAGGCAAAATCATGGGCTTAATCTATAACTAGGTCAGCAAGATACACTACCAACAGCCAGAACTAGAATTTAAAGCCTTATTCAAAAGACCAAGTGGAAGTTGAACATGATAGCTAATCCCTGCAATAACATCTGCCTGGGAGGCTGATGCAGAAGGATTTCAAGTTTGAAGCTAGCTTGAGCAAAATAGTAAGACACTGACTCAAAACAAAACAAAACAAACAAAAAAATGTTCAAGTAGGCCTAATTTCAAGCAGTAACTGTTCATGTTACTTAAAAAGAGAGATGGTTGGCTTTGCATGGCTTCCTACAGAATGAAGCACCCTACCTGCCAGTGATGAGCCCCAACTATAGCACTATGTTGGATTAGCCAGTCAACTGTAGATAGATTCATTACATTGAATCATTCTTTCACCAGAGAGAAAGATTTGTTTTCACATATTGCCTGTCTGCACTGTTTCTACCAATATTTACCTATATTGACAGAATGTCTAGCACTTCTGATTCTCAGTTCAGATCAGGGTCACATTTTGTGACACAGTATTTATGGAAGTGGATTCACTACTACAGGATTTGCTTGTCACATGTCTCATAACCCAGAAGCACTTGGCTTACTAGAATGGCATTAAGGCTGGTTCAGGACTCACTTGTGGAACCAGCTAAGAGACCATATCCTGAGAGCTGGGAAAGATGTTACTAAAATTATCCTAAATCAGCAGCCAAAATTTGGTGCCATCTGCCCAGTAGCATTAGGCATGAGACTGAGAACATAGGAGGCAATGGTGAGGGTGCCCCTTTAACTATAAAACCAAAAAACAAACAAACAAAAATACTAAGCAATTCATATTTTCTGTTTTGGGGACCTTGAAATCTATATATTTGTGTATTAGTACCTGTGGGAAGAATTCTTTCACCAGGGGAACATACTCATGACACCATTGAATTAGATATTTAAGAGAGTCCAATGGACGTTTTAGGCTCTTTAATGACACTGAATAGACAGGGAGAGAAAGGAATCACTGGAGAGGATAGATCTAAAAGGAAACTTTGTTAGTGCTATATAATGACACCAAATAGTTGTTGTCAAAATAACAAAGAGAAAACTAGCAAGGACTCATACCCCACATGACAAATACCACAGGATTCATATATCCCACAGGACAAATAACCCAATCAAGCTAAGGGTCCTGGAGCAGGTAAGAGGAGTGTGGAACGTGGGGCAAAGGAAGAAGCTCTTCTGATTATTCACGACCAGGGACCAAGTGGGAACAGCACAGCAATAGTTTGTTTCCTTTTTACCTCCTAGTAACACATATAAACAACACCTGGGGGGGGGCGTGGAGCTAACTTTCTGGTTTCCATTAGGAATAGGACTAAATTAATAATGTTAGTTAATGGGACTATGTTCAGGTTGATCATTTTTCATCTCGAAAAGAACAGATGAAAGCCAACATGAGTGGACTGTGCTGAAGATATTCTTTTCACCCTTCTAGGTTCAGCTTCCACCATTCTCCACCCTGCTTGTACCATGGAACACTGAATTGAGTGAACTACATCAATGGGCTTCCTTATCTTTTAGTTTTGCTCAATAAGGAGCAGTAAGGAGGAAGGAGAACAGTGAGGTCAGGGTATTTGGTTACATGTGAAATGGCTGCATCCCTCAACTGAAGACTGGCTCCTATCAAGCAGATCTCTCTACAAAGCTTCCTAATTTTTTTTTGATGTGCAGAAGATTTTTTATTTGATGCACCTCACTTATTGATTCTTGATTTTAGATCTTAAGTTGTAGGAGTCTTTTTGGGAAAGTCAGTGCCTGCACCACTATGTTGGATTGTTGGTTTTATATTTTCTCCTGTCAATTGCAATATTTTGGGTCTAATTCATAATTCTTGTTACTCAGGATTGATTGCTTGACTATTATGAGTCTTTTATTCTTCCATGTAAATTTTAGGACTGTTTTATTAATTGTGTGAAGAGTGTCACTGACATTTTGATGGGGATTGCACTGAATCTGTGGATTGCTTTTAGTAATTTGATCATTTTGGCAATATTAATTCTTCCTATCTAAGAACACAAGAAATCTTTTCATCTTCTAAGTTCTTCTCTAATTTCTTCCTTCGGTGTTCTATAATTTTAGCTAAAGAGGTTTTTCATTACCTTAATTAGATATATTCTCAATTATGTTTGTGTGTATGTGTGTGTGTGTGTGTGTATGTGTGTGTGTGTGTGTGTGTATGTGTGTGTGTGTAAAGCTATTGTGAATAGAATTGTTTTCCTGATTTCTTTCTTCGGTGTTCTATAATTTTAGCTAAAGAGGTTTTTCATTACCTTAATTAGATATATTCTCAATTATGTTTGTGTGTATGTGTGTGTGTGTGTGTATGTGTGTGTGTGTGTGTGTGTATGTGTGTGTGTGTAAAGCTATTGTGAATAGAATTGTTTTCCTGATTTCTTTCTCAGCAGATTCAGTATTAAAGTATAGGGAAACTATTGATTTTTGTATGTTGATCTTGTAACCTGCTACTTTGGTAAAATTCTTTATCAGCTCTACAGTCAATCAGGTAGAAATATTTGGGTCTTCCCAGTATAGGTTCAGCTCCTCGGCAAACAGATAATTTGGCACTTTCTCAGTTTTCATTCATTTAATTTACTTCCCTTTCCTGATTACCCTGGCTAGAGTTTCAAAAACTTCAGTAGGAATTGTGAGAGGTGAGAGGGGATATCCTTGTCCTGTTTCCAATTTTAGAGGAAATGCCTTCAGTTTTTCTCCATTCAATATGATGCTGGCTTTGGTTTTGACATATATTACCTTTATGATGGTAAAATGTTACTTTTACCTCTAGTTTCTTCAGTATTTTTAATATAAATAGATGATGGATTTTTTTTCAAAGGCTTTACGGCATCT